CATTTTCAAACAGTTCAGTAAACCGCAGACCAATTGTCTGGTCTCAGAGAAAATGCTTGACTTTCGGAACGCCATCAACGACGCCATGAAGAGGAGTGTCATCAAGAAAGTCATGTCAGACACCGATAGCGTGGAGTCCTATCAACCATTCAATTGGTCGCATAAGAGGCGACGGAACGACTCGAAGAACTCGTCCCACAGTCAGAACAGTAGCCATCGTATCAAAGCTCATAACAATGGACACAAAAAGGCGAAGACTTGCGAGACATCGACAGGTGATCAGAAGCAGTCGTCCAAAGGGAACAGACAGTCATCGAAAGGGAACAAACACTCGACCACAGAGTCTGACATTGAATCTCAATCAACGACTTCCAGCGATTCCACGACCAAGAAGTCAATGGATAGAGAAGCCGTGAAGTTATCGCAAATCGATTACAAGGACTGGCTGTTGGAGACCCTCCCGCGATATTCGCCATTCATCGGACAGGTAGGCGACCGCGTGGTGTATATGAGGGACGCCCACCACATATACATTAAGTACGAGTTGCGGCAACTGCGGGAACAGTACCCGCGCTTCAAGTGCGAGTACGACCAGATCACGGATCAGCTCCACACCGACGACTACATCATAAACGCCAAGATATCGGACGTGAAGTTCTATCAAACAAATTACATCCAGTTTTCGGTGGTTTGGATGGAAAGCCTGTCGAAGGAGACGCCGTTCAAGTTCTGTGTGTTGTATCGGCCGAACAGGGATGCGAACGACTTCCTAGTGTTGGACAAGTTTTATGGCAACCCTCGCAACGCACAGTGGCGGCCGGGTATGCGGTTTAAGTCGATTTGCCGCAACTCGTGGTGGATGGGAACGGTAGACAAGCGGTCGGTGTTTAACCACAAATACCCGGACTCGCTGTTCAAGTGCTACGAAGTGGTGTTCAACTCTGGGGAGAGGCAGCGGCTGAGCCCGTGGGAGGTGTTCGACGTCGGCGACGGTCACCAGTCGATGGTCACGAAGACTAATGGCATTCGTGTGACACTCGAGGACCTGCTGGACGTGAACTATAAGCCCGGGTTCACGGAGTGGCCCGAAGTGGAAGGCTATGAGTTCGAGTTGTGGAGGTGTTGCGAGTCTAAGCGGATCTACTCGGGCATCAAGTATGTCGAGGACAATGTCCGCCACGAGTTGGTCGCCATTTTCAAGACCTGCGATTGCAAAGAGATCGCGTATCCGATAACAGTGACACACATTAAGCAGCGACTGAAGAACATGTGGTACCGGCGCAAGTCGACCATCATTTTGGACATCAGTTATCTGCGCATTAATGCGAAGCTCACTGTCAGAAGCCATGACTACCCGTCCGCCAGTGCTTTCGTGGACCTACTGCTGAGTATTGTCAATGATATCGATGCCATCCATGAGCCCCAGTATGCCGACCACGTGGACAAGTATCAGCACCTGTTCCGGGCCGTAGGTCTGGCCAAACCCGAGACGGCACTCCATGTGTTTGCCGACCACTCCTACTACACGGCCCCTATAATGCCGGGTCCGTCAGGTGTAAGTAAGAGTCCGGCGAAGCCTAAGAGTTCAGCGAAACACAGCAGTCATAAGTCGGCCGACCCTTCCGGTGCCTCGAAAGTCAAGGTTTGTGTGCTTTTTTGTGCGAGTTTTTTGGTTCAGTTTTTAATGGTTTTTGTGTTTTTTGTGTCCAACAGAAGCCGCAAATATGCCGATGAGGCGACCGTCAAACCCATTGAGACCACGGAAAGCACTCAATGGGTGACCGATTCGTTGAGATTCATCGACGACTTGTGCACCAAAGACGACTCCCAGCCCTTTCGCCTACCCGTAGACCCCGTGCAGTACCCGCTCTACCGGACCGTCATCTCAGAGCCCATAGATTTGAGTGAAATCCGGCGTAAACTGAATGATAAGGAGTACCCGAACCCCAAAGAGGTGAGAGAGGACTTCCGGTTGATGTTCACGAACGCCAAGCTCTTCAATAAGAACCCGAAAGCGCCGATTCGTAAGATTAATAAACGGTTGTCCACTCTCTGCGAGGATAAGCTCCGGGAGGTTATCGTGGACTGGGAGCGCGTGCTGGCCTACGAGCGTAAGCAACGCAAACAAACCGGGTTTAGGGTACGGGAGCCCAAAGCCCGGCAGGAGTTGTGGGGGTTCGGCGCTCAGCAGTACTACTGATTACCCCAAACACTAAGAAAGCCTTTTGTATTTCAGTTTTATATGATTTTTGTTTGGTTTTTGTTTAAAACTTAATGTTTGAGTTTTTTTTGTATAATTACTTATAATTTTTGTTATTTGACTACAAATATGTCTACAATTAGGGGGTGTATGTGGTGCTAGAATCCGAGTGTGTGTGTGGTTAGGTATCCGTGAAAATGAGTTAAATTATGGTTTTTTGATTGAATCTTATAATACGTTTGCATTTTTTTGTATAATTAATTGATTATAGATTTGTTAGTGACTGCAAATACGCCCACTATTTGGGAGTACAAGTAGAGGTTAGGTAGCCATGAATGAGGTTATGTATGCTATAATGAATGCCAACTTCTAATACTAGTCCAAATGTCAATTGTAATTATAGTTAATTTAACAGTGGAGTGGGGGTGGGGTTAGACACCATTAGTGGAGTACTCTAACATGACATACCCCTCCCCGAAAGTGGTATTTGTGGTCAATACACGCTCTCAAATCCCAATACACACACAATATTGTGATAATATGTGATATTATAAAGAATTTGTAAATTCTATAAATAATAAATACATTAATAGTAAATTAAAAACTTATGTTAATTTAATGCCACGACTACTGTGTTGAACACAAATGTATATATAATAGCATTTTCACACGAATTTCATTTCATTTATCGTTTGTTTTGCATTTGAATCAATAAAAACAGATCTAACACTTTGTAAATTATTTTGTGATTTATTTTCAATGAATATATTTTGGAAGTTTACCCACAATTGCTAACTTTCATGACACGGATGAGTCCCATGAATACCAAAACAATCAAAAAGTTTCGGTATATTAATAGTTATTATGCGTCAGAGTATATACCGTAGTAGTTGTCCTCAATTAGTACTCAAGAGTTAACAAATACTTACCCTGGACTTCACAATACTGTATTTCATCAGTATATTGTAATCTAGTATAGTTATCTCGAAATATTAATTATATCATTTATATAACTCTTGATGTTAGCCATGAATTAACTAATTCAATGTATAAGTAAAATTTTATCAATAGATATAATGCAATACAGTATTTATAATATAAACTTTATATTACTTAAACTATAACACAAAGAAATCTACAGTATTATACTATTTGTATGAATCAATTTAATTGCACTAATATTGCACTCCAATAGCATAGCTATTACTACAGTATAAATCAAATGAATTTAAACATTAATAGCAATTTATTGTGATTTTAGTTAAAAATATACACAATTTATAATTAACTTAATTATTAGTCAACAAATTTCCGGACTTTGTGTCTCTGAATAGCGGTCTTTTCAAATGTAGGGCCAGTTTCACGTATGTCTGTCCACTCGGCTCCGGGATATCATTTTGGACTTCTCCTCCACAGTAGTCTCAGTGCACAGGCTTTTGGTTAACATTACCTTCAAATCATAGCAGCATTTGTACAGTAATACTAAGACCACCAGTAATGTGAGGAAAGGTATGATAAAGTATTCAAAGGTCACTATAATTGTCGAGAACCACCACTCGGTGTCCAAAATCTGGTGATAATTACGGTCCAAATGAGCGTTGAATTCAAATGACTTATACTTTCATTACTTATGAAAAAGTCTAAACTTTTCATTTCTA